TTCGTCATCTACAGCTTCATGGTTGGCTGTTATGCAGTCTTTAGTAGAGAATCCACACTCTTCTCAAGTACCTTGAATGCTGTCACTGTCTTGCAGACATTCATCTGATGGTATACCATTCTTGTAGGGCTGTTGTCAGGAGATGGTGCTTTAGAATTTTTTTTTCCAACTTCCCAACAGACTGCCTCATTTTTTATTCTTTTATTTCATTATCATGGCTTTTTTTAATGCAGGCTACAAAGCTGCCCTCTCTGTCACTTTATGTGCCACACATGTCATCCTCTTCTCTTGTCCTTACTCTTTCATGAAAATTTTTTAACCTTTCACTTACTTTGTCCTCAAGCCCCCTAGACAGTGTCCTCGGCAAGACTTGTGTCATGTTTCTCATTCTTTCAAACTTTTAGTGACTTGTTTGCTCTACCATTTTTCATTGAAGACATTTCTTTTCTTTTACACTCTCCAGTTAGGTAAACATATGACATTTATACCCTCAGTGCTTTTCATGCTATTTCTTTTTCTCTATTTATGTCCTGATAGTCTTCCAACCAGAGACCTTGACTGCAAGAGAAGGTAACCACTATTTTTCACCAATTGTGTTACTTACCCCCTTGTTCATTGTCATGTTACATGAACAGAATCCATGGGTGATCAAAATAGGTTATTTGTACCTTGTAATCAATCTATCTCTCTCTCCACATATCTTGCTCCATCCACACTAACAAATTGGCCTTTGCAGATGATATGTCTTGTCTATTTAAAATAACATTTGTTATGTATTGAGAATTTGAAATAATCCAAAGCCGCATTAAATAATTTATTGTTTAATAGTTGAGATGTACCTTGGATTTAGTGTTTAGAAACATGCCGGTATTTTATTTAATTTACGCTATTTGCCAACAAGATTGATTCACACCATTTTTGGTTTTGACACAAATAAGCTTTAATATATACAACACTATAATTTACAATAGCAACTATTATGATTAATTACTACTTGTTTGTAATGTGAGTGGTTCTAGATTTCATTCATTCATGGAGGAGATGCAAAACATTTAAATAGCCACATTGTGACCTGAGAAAAAGAAAGGGCATGTTTGAGAGATTAAGAGAAATAATAAGTATATATGATTTGTTATGCTAGATTTCCATCAGTTTTAATGTTCCACATTTTTTTAATGTGTAATTGGAATTCTGAACATTTTCTTTGATTCTCAGATTTATTTCATTTTCATCTGGTTGAATCTAAATTATTCAAATTAGTTTTTTATGCTAATAAAGCCTGAGTTTCAAGTTATTACCCAGAATTATTGTGTATATGAGCTACCATACTTTAGAACTATTTAAGTAATATAGTTATCAATACATTTTCTGTACATGTCAGTTATTTTCATTTCTTTTGCCAAAATACACAGTACACTTTATCAAAACCTTTAGCTTATATAATAATTTTTTCTTGTGAAATCACATTAAAGATTCCATGTTAATATTTAGTAATTATATAAGCAGACAAAATTTAAATTAAAAATTTGTTTTAAGGTCTTAAACATTGATATTTTCTCTGCATATTTTAATAAATGTGGAAGAAAATCAAGTTTTGTTTTATAAAAAAAAACAATTTTCATCTTATGTGAATTGATAGTAAAGAAAAGTTCAAACTTTGTTTTATTTCAGAAACGAAACTCCTGTTCCTGTCAGTTTACTCAGTGTGCAGTATTTTGAAGAGGGAGGTAAAGTTTACAAACTTTTACTTCCTGAAGCAATTAATTCTGAAAAGCAACTACATGGGTCTACAAAATGGTCATGATTCATTCTGACTACTCCACAGAGGTTTCATATCTTTCTTGTCAGGGAAGTTCTCATTCTTGAGGTCTTGGTTGTCAGGCTTTGGAACTTCTTTTTTGGTTATTCCAATGACATCCATACTGCAAGAAGCTTGGTATGCATGAGCTACTGGCCATGAAATGACCACTGAAGGGATCTCATATGGGCCTGATCCAATGGTATAAGGGATTCTAGAAAAGCTCAAATCCCAAAAAAAGACAGAACCATCCATGCAGTGGGTATAATACTTGACAATCCTTTCCCTAGCATGAAGTCTGAGGGAAGAAGGTTGAGCTCGACTCAAAGTGCATTAAAAAACACCCCAAGATGGACCATTTATGGAGGTGGTGAGAGAATGGATTATTCCAACGTGATATGAAGTCCTTCTTACTGGCTTTGGAAAGGAGAATC